GGTGATGCGATTAGCTTGAAATTTAGCCGAAATCGGAATGTCTCGATTCCGTTTGAAATCGGATGATTTTCCGAGAAAGTGGTTTAAATTCCTGGAAACATATATCTCGTGGACTGACTGTATACGTTTCTCTTAGGAACTGTGAAGCTGGTTTGACTTTCTTTGGTTTCGTGGATAGCTATATCTTTAGTTGTTGGACTAATCTGAAAGAGACGAATCGGAATTGAAAACTCCATTCTTGTGTTTTCTTGCTATATTTTGGATTTCAATAATTCACTCTTGTTTCTATTTCTGTAACTTTCTTTCCAGGTTTCGCCTCATTCCAATTCACCAGAGATTGATTAGTCAGTAGGTGAAGAAATTTTGTGGTTTTGATGAGATGAAAGCAGTTAAAAGGTGGAGTCTAGGCAACTTAGGGGATATGGCGACTTTGCCTGGAGCTAGATACCGTGCTCCAGCGAGAAGACGAGTATGGATCATCATGGTGCTTTCACTCATAAGCATGTTCTTTATCATAGCTTACATGTATCCTCATCACAGTAAACGTGCTTGTTATATGATTTCGTCGAGAGGATGTAAGGCTTTAGCTGATTGGCTTCCACCTTCTTTGAGGGAATATTCAGATGATGAGATTGCAGCTCGCGTAGTTATTAGAGAAATATTGAGTTCACCTCCTGTTATTACAAGGAATTCCAAAATTGCATTCATGTTCTTAACTCCTGGTACTTTGCCTTTCGAGAGGCTTTGGGACAGATTTTTCCAGGTAAACAAACATAAATTGTGCCAATTTTTCATTTGGTTAGGAAGCTGATGGTTTTGGAAGTTTTTTTGCTTCTCACAGGGCCATGAAGGGAAATTCTCTGTTTATATCCATGCGTCAAAGGAAAGGCCAGTTCACTACAGTCGTTACTTTGTCAACCGCGAAATTCGTAGCGATGAGGTTTGTCTCCTTTTTATCCTTGTCTGATAGTCTGATGCCTCCTATCTTTGTAGACTTTAATGTGTAATTTCATGTGCAGGTTGTGTGGGGAAGAATATCAATGGTTGATGCAGAGAGACGGTTGTTGGCTAATGCTCTTAGGGACCCTGCAAACCAGCAATTTGCTTTACTCTCTGATAGGTGATTTCTTGATATCTTGCTTCCCTTCTCATTGATCACTCTGAATTTTCCTAACACTTTTAGAATGTTTCTTGTTTTGCAGTTGTGTACCACTTCGAAGTTTTGAATACATTTACAATTACCTGATGTACAGCAATGTCAGCTATGTTGACTGGTAAAGACACAAGTTTCATCAGATTGGCAAATTCAACTTTTACTCTTCCTCCCAACTTCTTTTTTCCTTATATATGTGATTTCTTTGTATTCTTCAGCTTCGACGATCCAGGTCAACACGGATCAGGCAGGCATATGAATCACATGTTGCCTGAAATTCCAAAGAAGGATTTTCGAAAGGGTGCACAGGTAATAAATTTGTTATTGATCCAGTAATTATGCTCACCTGATGCATTTAAGGCATATAAGGATTTTTTCTTGTTTGGAATGCTTGTATTTGTTACCAGGGACTAGTAATAGAACCAACATATGTCTGCAAAACCCGCATTCATATTTTACGAAATCTACTTTCGGACCTGTAATTATTCATTGTTAGTAATGAATTAGTGCTATTTTGCAGTGGTTCACCATGAAGCGACAACACGCTGTAGCAACTATGGCAGACAGTCTTTACTACTCTAAATTCCGGGATTACTGCGGGGTGAGTATCAGCTGAAATCCCCCAAAATATATGTTTCTTTTCACTTTCTTACAAAGTCATAACATATTTGAAATGGACCACTCATTAGTAAGAAGCTTGCATTTTGTTTTCTTCAGCCAGGTATAGAGAACAACAAGAACTGTATAGCTGATGAACACTATCTACCGACATTCTTTCATGTAAGAACTCGGTTTCGACTC